TGACCTGAGGGGAGGGGGTTAGCAGAGAGTTGTTGATAGGGATGAGGAGATTATTAGATTTTGAGATGGAATTTTTAGTGCCGACAAGGATGATTTCTGTTTTGTCACTATTCAGATGAAGGAAATTGTCTGAAAACCAGTGATTGAGTTCATTGAGACAGTCARTGAGGATGGAGGGAGGGTATGTGGAGTTTTGCTTGGTTGACAGGTAGAGCTGTGTGTCATCTGCATAACAATGGAAATGGACACCAAACATGCGGAAAATGTAACCAAGAGGAAGGAGGTAAGTAATGAAGAGAAGGGGTCCAATGACAGAGCCTTGGGGCACGCCGATGGAGACGGGGGATGACTCAGAGTGGAAGAATTTAATCTGGGTGAATTGAGTGCAGTCAGAAAGATAAGATTTGAACCAGTTAAACACAGTACCTGAGATGCCAATGGATGTGAGTCTGTTGAGGAGAATAGAATGAGAGATTGAATCAAAAGTAGCACTTAGGTCAAGGAGGTGAGGATGGACAGGAGACCAGAGTCGGCAGCAAGGAGAAGATTGTTGGTGATTTTTATGAGGGCGGTTTCGGTGCTGTGGTGGGGGCGAAAACCAGCTTGAAACTCCTCATTAAGGTTATTGTTGGAAAGGTGAGAGTGGAGTTGACTGACAACAACATTTTCCAGAATGTTGGAGATGAAGGGCAGGTTGGACGAAGGTTATTGGAGTTACTTTGGTCGAGACCGGGTTTCTTGATGATGGGAGTAATGGCTGCAGAGTGGAAGCAGAGGTGGAACGGCCGGCAGGAATCAGAGGTGCAGGAGGTCGGCTGTTGTGTAATGGAGGAGTCCAGATGCTGGGTGGTGGAGAATGATCAGCTGGAGGATCCAGGCCAGAGCAGGCAACAGGTAAATCTGAATAATCCACATGTTGGTAGTGACACGAAGCAGACACTTAGTGTGGGAAGGCCAAGGTAAGGGATCTGTGAAAAAGTCCGTAAAAAGTGAAAAAGCTATAAGTCACGACGAGCAGCAGCAGCAGGCATGCGCCAGCATTCACTCGCTGGAAGTGTGCCTGTCATGTGATCTCAAGGCACGGCTGCTGAATGGATCAGTGAATGCATGTCTGTATCGGTTAATACAGATACAAAATAAAAACCCACAAATATCCTCCAGCCAATGTATCGGTTGATCTCTACTGTTAGCATATGTTAGATATTGTATTTATTTTAGCACTAAATCTGTATTCTGCACCTGGAGAACTGTCACGTTGCAGAATGAACCCTGTTGATTGGAGAACATTTCTAAGCCCAATCAGGTGGTTTTATTGAAGTACAGTTTGTCTGTTAAAGCAATGATAAAATAACCTGTCATAAAATATAAGAAATAAGAAGTTTGTTCTTATATAAATGGTGGAAACATGTTAAAATCATGCAGTACAATTCCTGTTTTAATTTCCTGAAGGGAAGCAGTGTGATCAGCATAGTTTTCGTTTGTTTGAGGGGGCGTGTCTTTTGTCTTTAACTGTGTGTCCATGGCCCTGCTGATGAAAATGTCCGGTAGAGACGGTTGCTCCGGACAAGTGCTGTGTAGATTTTATACGTGTTTGACCTCCTTTCTCTCCTGCACAGAGCAGTTTTTGTGCCACATTCACAAGACGACACCTTGGTTGTTTTAAAAAACCAAATCCAAAAATCAGCTTGTAGATTTGATTAAAACAGACTCCAGCTGAATGAACCTGTTTGTTGACAGTAAAACTAAAGCTACAGTGGCACCTTTGAATGTGCCAGAGTTAAAATCACCTGTCATCGTCTTTTATGGTCTGTTATTTTAGGAGAAAAGCAGGCAGCCACTCACGTGTCGTTGGATCAGGAGTACGACCAGAGTTCATCAGCCATGTGGTGCAATCTGGAGGAGCAGCTTGTAGCTTCGGCCAATCGTGGGATCGTTCCAAACACCTTCCAGCCTTCTCAGAGCTGTCTGAACAGTCAGACAGACAACCTTCGTCACCCACTGGCTGTGGTGGAGGGTGAGAGGTCTTAAATTAGTTTACAATCTTATTATTAGTAAACACTCACCAGTGGTCTGAGTGGTTTCTAATACAGTTTATAGGTTTCCACTGAGTAAAGAAGTAATAATCCAGTTCTTCTGTTTTCTCTGTACATTTGTTCACAGAACCAATCATAGTTGAGCTGACATTCAGGAATCCTTTAAAGGTTTCTTTGACCTTGTCCAACCTCTCCCTGCTCTGGAAGTTCACTGCTGATGGAACCATTTCAAAAGACAAGACAAGTGAGCTGATAACAGGAGAGAGCATCAGTAACGAGGAGGCCTCGGCTCTACAGGTTAAAATGCTGAAAACATCTGTTCCCAGTTAATCTAAAATATTTAAATGGGTGTTTTGAATACATCGCTAAAGATTTTTATTGTTTTCCTCTATATTTTTAGATGGCACAAAAAGATGACATTGCCACAACTGAGATCATCAAAGAGTTTCATATAGGACTGGAAGAAACCAAAATGGTGAGAAACATTTGAGTGTTTTCATTATTGTGAGTTAACATTCAGTTAAAAACTACATCTACTTCTATTAACATTAACATTGTCTTTGATCTCAGGCCAGACTGAGGCTCCTGCCTCACAGAACGGGTCAGCTGAACATTGTAGGAGTAGTTTACGACCTGACTTCATCTTCTGTCGGGGAAACGACCTCAGACACTGAAGGTAAATAAAAACATGTTTGCTGCTTCTGTGACTCTTAATAACGTACAAACTCGTCATTTTTACATTTTTATGAATTTATTTTCCGTGTCTGTTTATTCAACAAACAGTAAATAAAGATGCTGAGGTCAGGAATGAGATCATCAGAGGTACAGCACAGTTCGAAGGTCTGGGACATAAAGTTAGAGGCCAGACTGAGAAGCTTTGGACATGTCCAGAGGAGGGACAGTGGGTTTATTGGTTTGGACATGTCCAGAGGAGGGACAGTGGGTATATTGGTTTGGACATGTCCAGAGGAGGGACAGTGGGTTTATTGGTAGAAGGATGTTAGAGATGCAGCTGGCAGGAAAAAGACAGAGAAGATAAATGGATGCAGTTAGAGAGGACATGGAGGTAGTTGGAGTGAGGACAGAGGAGGATGAAAATCAGAAAATTTGAGAAATGGTGATGCAAACTTATTGTTTTGCTTCACAACATGTTACACCTACAGCTTCTGTTCCCTGAAGGAAAGGAACCTGGTCCAATACATAAAAGTTCATGCTCCTGTGTGTCCTGGCTGAAGACACTTCTAATCAAGTGGTGTGATGAGAAAAAGCGTCAGGCCCTGCCTTCATGTATATATCTGTCATCACCAACATTCTCCAGTTTTACAGCTGCTTTTTTTTACAGCAGGACAGTCAAGAGTTGCACCTCATTCTTCTTCAGAGAACAGGAGTTATTTGTATAATGTTACATTCCCTTTCAGTCTGTTCACCCACTACAATACATAAGAACAGAACAAAAACATTATTTCCTTTTTTAGAATAGAATAGAATAGAATAGAATAGAATAGAATAGAATAGAATAGAATAGAATAGAATAGAATAGAATAGAATAGCCTTTATTGTCCTGCAAGGGAAATTCAGGTGTAACAGCATCAGTTCACAAAAAAACATGTTGCTATGCACCAATAGCAATAGTAATAATGGTAATAGAATAGAAATAATAAAAATTAAAATAAAAAAATAAGCAAAATACTTTACATGGCAATAAAAATAAAACATGATACTGTATGAAAATGATACCGTGCAGTCTTCAGCAGTAGACAATAATGCATCTTAACACACAGCTCAGGTTTTCTCATTTTGAACTCTGTGTTTATAGATCTGAATTAAACTTAGTGTTACAGACTTGTACCAGCAGAGTGGTTACAAATTAAAATTATATCCAGCTCCTTGGCTTCTTATTTGTTTGACCACCCATAAAAGGTAAGACAGGACTAAAATAGAGTACAAAATCAAGTTAAAACATTTACAAATGTCTTGAGTTCAACTGTTAAAAAATGACCCTGAAAACATCAAAAGAGACCAACTCCTTCAACTCCAACTTCTTTCTGCAGTTCATTCCAGTTTGAGGGAGTAGCAGTAGAAGAATGTTTTGTTGAAATCAGTGTGAACCTTAGGTGCAGTTAAAGGGCCAATATTATGTGTTTCATATATTTAAATACTATACCATAATAAAGTATCTATGCCACCTTTATTTGCTATTAAAATGGTGTTTTTATGTTTAAATAGAAAAGAAACTTATCTTCTCATCACTTCCTCTTCTAAATGCCTTGAAATTGGCCTCTGTCTCTTTAAGAA